GCTCTTACTCGTCTGGCGCTGAGACCAGCTGGTATGCTCGACCACGCGGTCCTCTTCGACAGCCATTGAGCACTGCTAACACCTTGCGACAGCCGTCCGGCCGGCAGTTTTCTCTCGCAGCTTCGCCTCTGTTACCGACGTCCACGCTCGCGACCCCATCTCCAAGACTGCCGAAAAGATTGTGCCTGATGCCGCGCGGAAACCTATTCCAGAGAGCGAGACGTCCAACGTCAAAGAGTCTTCACCCACCAAAGATGCCAAAATGAAGACTTTCCACGTCTACCGCTGGAATCCTGACGAGCCCACATCCAAGCCCAAGATGCAATCGTACACTCTGGACCTGAACAAGACCGGACCCATGATGCTGGATGCACTCATCAGGATTAAGAACGAGATGGACCCAACCTTGACCTTTAGGCGGAGTTGTCGTGAGGGTATTTGCGGAAGCTGCGCCATGAACATTGACGGAGTCAACACATTGGCATGCCTTTGTATGTGGAATAAACCAGCAGATTGTGGTTGCAATACTAACAACAATCACAGGCCGCATCCCCACTGACACAGCCAAGGAGTCTCGCATCTACCCGCTCCCCCACATGTACGTTGTCAAGGACCTTGTGCCAGACATGACGCTTTTCTACAAGCAATATCGTTCCGTCAAGCCATACCTGCAGCGATCCACCCCCGCACCAGATGTACGTACATGAATTGACCCTACCTCTAGGAATATGCACTAACAATTGGCCAGGGTCGTGAGTTCCGTCAGTCCAAGGAAGACCGCAAGAAGCTCGACGGTCTTTACGAATGCATTCTCTGCGCCTGCTGCTCAACTTCGTGCCCTTCGTACTGGTGGAATCAGGAGGAGTACCTTGGCCCTGCTGTCCTCCTCCAGTCCTACCGATGGATCGCCGACTCGCGTGATGAGAAGAAGGCCGAGCGCCAGGACGCACTCAACAACAGCATGAGCTTGTACCGATGCCACACCATTCTTAATTGCTCAAGGACATGCCCCAAGGGACTGAACCCTGCGCTGGCTATTGCCGAGATCAAGAAGAGCATGGCTTTTACATAAATACACAAAACCAGGGGTTGATGAGTAGTGCTGCCAGGTAACATTCGCTGTATGTATGTGCGGTTGATTGTTTTTTAGTAACCAGGCTTGTATATTTTGAGACTTGTAGTAAACAAATCCAAGCGACTTATTTCACGTGGTTAATTCTCCAACGTTTGATGCGCACGGGTCTATCTCAATATGTGCTGATCTGTATTAAACTTTAAAAAAAATCCGAAACTATTTTTCTGACTAGTCATGCTTTCTCAGTTCGTTCCTCCAACGCATGTTTTTGGCTCTAATCCTCAACTCCCATACACGATCGTCTGCTTCAAGGACTGAAGCGGATCGAGTTTGCGGCCCCCTGTCTTCTCCATCAATACTAACCCTGAAATTGTCGCTGCTTGAACACTTGATACATAGCACTCTGTAAGTCAGGATGCGGTTCCGTTCATTGAGATCATTGGCATTTTTTTGCTCTTCCTCTCTTCACGCGGCGGGCGAGGACGTGTATTTTCAATGTGCTCAATAGCCCCGGAATCCCGGAGCCTTTTCTGTTATAATCTACGTATGAGATATATTCGCGCAAAAAGTGACATTGGAAAAGAGGAGGTTCAGGTGACTTTTTCTCTACATTACTAAGCATTATTTTGATTTGAGCCAAGGAAATGAGCCCTTAATTGTATGCTTACTCTTTTATTTTCATTTGTTAGCCTCTGGATGAATGGGTCGGGGGGTGGGGGGCTAGAGCACGACGGGACGTATTTGCCCCGATTTTTCCCAGAAAAAAAAAACATACGAATACACCATGTTCACTCTGTAAATGTTGTGATAATGAGAGTACTCAGCAAAAGATATTAACAGATAATTCCTTAATAATAATAGTTCCTTAGTTGCCGCTACGATATTGCCGCTGCTTTACTTGCACCTAAATCGCCGTTTGGCACTTGTAATGATCTCTCAACTCCCCCCCTCTCCCTATACTCCATCAACAAGGACAAAAGAAATATTAAAACATAGCAGACTTTTGTTCAGCAAAAAAAATCTCAGCTGTGACTATTCCATATCCACCATCACTATCAAACAATATGTTCTAAACAGTGTTAACTTTTACCAGAGCAATAAATATACCACAAATGGTAAAGCATCCGCACTTATTCCGCATCTACCCACCAATCACTATCCCCTCACCTTGCAGACCCTCGACTTCATTGGCCTCAGTGCAAACATACTTTACCAATTTGGAGAAGAAGAAGAAGAAGAAGAAGAAGAAGAAGAAGAGAAAAGCAATTCTAACACTCCCCTATTTCCATTCATCCGCCGAGACGTTTTGCTATTCAATTGATTTGTTGAATTTCAAGGGCAGTTATGCAAGAACCAGTAGTGATTAGGCGATTTGCGGCTCGCGCTAAGGAGATGTGTGTGAGAGAGAGAGAGCGCGCGGAGATTGGGGATCCACTTTTGATGCAGGTACGTGGTCCTTTTTTTTCTCTTTGCTTGTCCCTTCTTCCCTCCCCACCCCCCATCCCCACCCTTAGGGGTCTAGTCGGGTTGGCAGTGGGAAGAGAGGGTGTGGGGAGGGAGGAAGGTAGTGGTAGTTAGTATGGAGGCGGGTTGGAAATGGCTGTGAGAAGAGAGAGGGATGTTCGGAGTGCGAATTGGTTACATGGGTAAACAACGGTCAAAAAGTCGCGGAGTCCAAAAACGTACTACTTAGCCGATATGATCAACAGTGAGGCGGTGACCTACCACATCTTCCGCTCTACGCTCGAGTCACGCAGCATGTCCTTAACAGAGCTCTATGGCAACACTGTGTCGAATTGGGAGGTGTAGATTTAGTGAATGAAATTGTTTGTTGAGGTATCTCGATTTGTTCATTATTACTACGGGTCCCGATACAATCAGGATTATCCGCAAACCATGTCGCAGTTCTCATCAAAGAAAAGCTCATGTAAAGTAGGTTGTACGCGAATATTCAAACACATTATACACAAGCCTCGTGCCCGTACAACATTGTGACATGAAGCCTTCTGACTTTGGTATCGTGGGTCATGAATTCTTGTCCCTTTGCTCTCCACCCTTAGAAGCTGAATGTATATTGCTCCTTCCACTCCCGCGCAAATCGACTTGGGGTATCTTATGCGACGCCCTTGCTGGCTTGCCTCTGTTGCGATTGTTAGTACACTGTTGGAAAAGCGCAACAGTAGAAGAAGAAGAAGAAGAAGAAGAAGAAGAAGAAGTATGGCACGTACCTTCTTGTTGATGAACATGGCAAGGAACAGAACGGCGACGAGGAAAACAATGCAAAAGACAACAATGACACCGGGCTCGCGCTGGGCCCAGTTGTCGCGCTTAGCAAGCTGGTGGAGGGTGTACTCGGCGCGAGCGGCGAGAGGCATGCTGATGGCGGCCATTGTGAAGGTAGGTTTCTGCGCGAGAAGAAAAGTCAGAAAGGGTGTTGGAAGACGATGCGGTGCGGAATGCAAGATTCGCGGAGGTTAAGATGTAGTTAAGACAATTGACGGATGGTCCGACGGAGGCTCGGCGATCTTGCGCGAAGGGGTTGGGAATGCCGCCCAAGCACTTGGTCCGTGTCGCAAAACTACATTGTTTCGATGGGCGGGAGGATGCGACGATGCGACGTAATGGCCCACCCCGGCCCCCAACAGAGCTCCAGCGGAAAAGGCGGTGGCATGGAAAGCTTACATTTACGAAATTAATCGGACCTTGGTGGAAGTTGACGAGCTGGGTAGAAACAGCTTTTGTTTAGGAGCTGTTGCTAATTGACAAGAAGGCTGGTCAGCGCGATTCGGTTGGATCCCACGGTGGTGTGATGGTTGTGAAGGAGCTTGGCGGTGGGAATTGAGATGGCGCAGGTCAAACAGCGGTGCAGCGTCAAAAAGCGAAAACAGAAGCCTTAATACTCGAAGCGCTGATAGTCGGCTTTTTAAGTGCGCGCCTTTGCCGAAAATTTCTGCAGTTGATGAGGCATTTTGTATGGCCCGCGGTCCTAGCGGGTTGCCCGGGAGCTCCAAGCTTGCAAGGGTAGATGTGCACGCAGTTCGGCCGGGGTGGAGAGGCAATGACGGAATGATTAGTACGTACCTTTGTTGGGTGAGATGCTTCGTTTGGTGTAGTCAAACAAGGGCAGGTTGGGTGAAATGCGGCGTGGATGTGTTACGGATTGTGAGATGACAGTGGGATGGAAGAAGCAGCAGCAGCAGCGTTCGAGCAGAGGAGAATTACTAATGGCTAGGAGCTAGCAACGTCGCAATGAAGGGTTGAGGAAGCTAGCTAACAAATGGGTTGAAAGAGCGACGTCACGTGTGCCAATGGCGCGGCATGCAATCCCACACTATCGGCATCCATTCGTACGAGGTGCGATGAGCGTTGCTATCATCCGGTGTCGCTTATTAGAGTAAAGAAGGGTCTTGAGCGGCTCTCCCATGGTTACGTAGCTGTTCACCGTAGGTCCTTTACTACACCTACATACTTAGTACTCTCCACGACCTCCACAGGAGCATGGCGTCGCTGCAAGCCGCCGCTGACGCTACCCATCGGCTCCACCCAGCCGCGTCCAAGTTCCCTGCGACACGGTTGAGTGTTGCTGTTTCGGTGATAGCAGCAGCAGCGGCATTGGCTGCACTTATGTCATCAGCCAATGCTTATCTTTTCTGACTGATGGTTCCATTTGCCGCCCTACTCCGAGTCGGCCGCGAGCCTAGAGCCGACGGTGGCATGCCATGCAAAAGATAGACCGAGCACACCGGAAGCCAAAACAATACAACCACCCCGATAATCCCTCATTTCCCACGCGCCTCGCCTCGCCTTGCCTGGCGCTGGCACTGTCCGGTGTTCGGTGCCCGATGCCGACAGCGCCGGCTGCTGCTCAGATGGACAGTTGGGTGGGAGTCAGGTTGGCTGGATTAGTGTGTTTCCGCGATCCTCGCTAAGCTTCTGCAATGCTTGCCCCCCGCATCTTGGCAAACATTGGCGTCTTGACGGTGACTCGTGTGGGCCATGTCTGACGCATTGCAGCGCTCATGTCAACGCTCCTCTCCTCGTGCATATGCAGCAGTTGTGGCGAGCTCGACGGCCAGCACTCCCACGGCCATAGACATTCAACGTCACTCTCACCCTCACGCCCTCGCTCGCCTGCAAAACCAATATTGCTGATATCAACAATATTGGCGTAGCGCACACGCTCCATGACTCGGGCCGTATCTAATACGACGCCAGGCACAAAGCAATCATCTATCATCCCATCATAACAACTGCAATGTGCAACCACCCGTCCAGGTACGCTGCGGCACGTACCAAATCCTCCACGCTCGCCCCCAAGGGTAGTGCTGCCCCGTGGAGCACTGCTTGTGCCAGTAAGGGACTTCGCCTGCTCGGAAATAAGCCAGGTAGCACGTGATTGAGTGCTGTGCCGATGGTCTGTGGTTGCCCTGTTGCCCCTGTTAGCCTCACTTGCCCTTCACACCGCAACCACATGCACCTACTAGACGACAGACTCGGTGTGACCAGTCTTTGCACAATCCTCAAACTCCCGGGCGCCGTCTCTTCCTGCACACCCTCCGTCGCTGCATGCGGCAAATACAGTCTGACCGGTAAATGTCTCAGACTGACTCCCTGGGGGTTGAGTAGTTTTTGGTTGATGGGGTTATATAGCGCAAACTCGTGTTTCTTAACTCCCTCCCACAGCTGCGTGCTATCCTCCTTACTCAGAAACATGACCGTCTTCCCCGTGCCCGTCCTCAGGTAGTCTGCCTCCTTGACGCTTTGAATGAACAAGTCGTTGAGATGCTTGCCGTCATTATCGAGTTGTACCAACTGCTCGGTCGGATAGTCTGAAAAGTGAACCGTGAGACGCCATGGAAGCCGCCTGTGTTCCTCTTCGCCGCCTTCCACCTGGTGTGTTGGTGCGGCGTCTACGTCTGCGTCTGGGGGATATGCAGGCTCAGCTCCAGAGTAGAGGTCGTATAGGAGGCCAAGGGGATAATGCCACTTCAACGGAACACCTTCGTAAGAGAGCCACGCATCTTTCGGGCTGACATCCGGGTAGATGAGGCTGCGCGAGAAGAAGCTATGCAGCTTGTGGATCAACAAGCCAAGGTACGAGATCCGTGGGAATTGTATCTAGCAGACTCGTCAACACACAACTCTCATCCTGCATACAGCGCCTCATCAAACAGCAACATGCTTCCTTCCACGTACTATGTAAGGATCCGACTCATCGTACGTCCTGCAGTCGCCCTTGTGCAGCCGTATCTCGAGGGGGATGCTCCCGTTCCAGGTGCTTTGTCGCAGTCTGCCTGTGACGTCTTTGGAAGCCATCAAAGCGAATGCATCCAAGATGCACGTTGCAAGCCCGCCTGCTGAGAGGGTCTAGGCACACACGAGCGATAGTGGGGTGGCCCCCAAAGGCTGTCACGACTATGGCGGGGTAAAAGTCAGCAACCATACAGGGAAGCAGAAGCTCGGGCAGCCTAGTAACCCCTCGCACCCTTCCCCTGAGTCTCTTGCCAACGCGTCGTCTCTGTGACAACCGCAAATTCCCCACGACGTTATGTAAATCAATGTACGCTGGCGGTTTCAGCCATGCCCTTTCTACTTTCCCTGCATCATCGCGACAACAAGTGGTGTGACAGCGTACATGGGTGACTTACTAACGCAACATAGCTGGACCATGGACGTGGCACTGAGCCGCAAACGCTCGCGCCTGGCCCTCGACGATGACGACGATCTGCCACCAAAAAGGGAGCCGTCGCCTGCGCCATCTCCGTTTGGAGACACTCTGAAGAAATCAAAAACACAGTGCGAGCTGGAAGAGCTGGAAATCATACGCCCGGAAGATGCGTGGACTGTCGATGTAGACGCCATACTAGCCAGCAATGTGCTCGCAGCACCACCGGATAGTAAGCTACAGGCGCATAATAACTGGGCCAGATATCAACGAGGCCAGTCGATAACTGTGCTGTGCGTGCAAGGTAATGTTCAGATACACTTTGAGCTCTTATGGTACGATGCGTTCCAAATCCATTAAAAACCCACAATTGACATCCCATAGCTCGGCCTTGCCAGACCTCTACAAACTCTCGCCCTCGCTCCAAGCCCTTGTTCTCTGTCATGACCCTTCTACACATCGCCTCTCTCCATCTGCACCCTTTTCGCTCCCTTTAGTACAGGCTGCCACCACATCCAACAACCACTTTGTGCGGCTGGGTCTCTTGCATCCTCTGGGCGGAGGAAAGTTCCCATTAGATGCGCTCGTTGTCTTGGATAGAAATGCAAAGAGGAGACTGGTTTTGCCGTTTGGATGGGGCGCTGGCAAACACGCGGGGACGCCTGCGGGCCGAAGCATACAGATGACACTGATGCGCTTACTAAGAAGTTGCGTTGAGCAATTGCAGCAGGAAAGCTGATATTACAGAAATTCAAATCCATATCGGATGCCCCATTTTGGCACATCGTTAAATCCATTCGGACCCTGGACCCAGAATGCTCAATCGTGAAAGACTTGTAAAAGCATCAGATCCAAATGGACTGAGGTGTATATCAATTCGCAACTCTAAATTGTCTAATTCTTGATATGAGGGTATCTACACATAGGCAGCGCCGTCTATGCTATCTTCTCCACTGTCAATGTCCCCGGCGCGTTGCCTTCCAACGCTACAAGCCCGCTTGACTCAATCTCCTTCTTCCACTTTGTAGACTCGTACCTCGCCGTAATTACGGTAAGCCTCAGTGCTGGCTCCTCTTTCGATTCCTCGCTTGCAGGCAAGGCTACAGGTGTAAATGTCCAACGGCCAAACGCCCAGTTCAGAATATATCTCGCTCTTCCCTCTGGTACCTGCTGAGTTGATGCGGGTGTAGTGTCTAAAGACTTGGGTGGTGTAATAGCATAAAGTATACCCTTGATTCGGTATACTTCATCCTTGGTTGGGTCTTGCAGGAACTTTGCCAGTTTCGACGTATCCACGCTCCCCGCCTTGTCCTCGCTCTTGAGCGTCACAGTCAGGACCTCTACCTCACTCGAATGCCCGTGATCATGCTCATGCGTATGTGCCCCGTCCTTCGTTTCCTCTGTAACGCCTGCAAGCCGCGCATCCAAGCCAAACACAATATCCTTGTCCACCCAGCCCTTGCGACTCTTGGTCCTGGGGATCTGTGGCTCCACCTCGAGCGCCAGAATGGCGTCTTCCACATCTTCCAACCGTCTCTCGCTGACCAGCTCATGCTTGTTCAACACAATGAGGTCAGTGTACCGCGCCTGCATTTTCGCCGTGATACTCGTGTCTTCGTATCCCTTCCAGTTCTCTACGTCAATGACACTCATTACGCCGTCGAGCACATATTTGCCCGTCTCGCGACTCAGCCGGTTGACCTCCATGGCCAGCGTGGCCGGGAAGGCAGACCCAGACGTCTCGATTACAATGCGATCGGGTTCTACATCGCGGGCGAGCGTTTCGAGCGCGTCGGATAACTGGCCTACGAGGTTGCAGCATATACAGCCGTTGAGCAGCTCTTGCACACCAGAAATGGCCGCAGACGACGCGAGCGCAGTGTCTACCTTGACATCGCCATACTCGTTCTTGAGGAGCGCGAGCTTGTACGACGGGGGCAGCTGGGGGATAAGGTTTAAGATGAGGGCTACGTGGTGTTAGCAGGAGGGAACCAAGAAACATGCACGCATGCATTCAATATCTGTGAGATTGCAGGGTAACAGAAAGACTGATAAGCAAGGATGAGTAGTAAGTGAGTGTGCAACATACTCGTCTTTCCCGAGCCCAGAAACCCCGTGATGATGGTAATGGGTATCATCACGTCAAAGCCCCCCAAAAAGGCTTGAGCCAGCGGTTACGTTGTAGTACGTTGAGAGAATAGGAAACAAGTTTAACCGACAGCAATGACGCTCTAAATCCAAAGCGGTCGCAAGTACTTGCGCCTAGAGGACAAAAAGGAAAGAGCCGAAATGATGAAATCCGATTCGAAAAGCTTCCCCCCCCGGCACGTGTCAAACACACGCTCACTCAACACATCCCCCCCGCCCCCCAACCTCTTAGCAACGATAAAAAAACGTGCTAGCTTGTCAGCTCTGGCGCGGGACAGTGGTGCGGCGGGGGTCCCTAACTAATGACGTCGGCGCGCAGCCCGCGCGGGGCAGTGCTAATCGCCAATGGGGCAAGTCACCACTACACATTCAAGGTACAAAGAGCGGTAGACCAGATAGACGAGTAGCCTATCAAACCATTGTTTTTCTCAGCTGGCGGCTGAAATGATGCAGTCTTGGTATTCTTGTCATCGAGGGGAAGGGGGGAAAGCTCAGATCTTGGTTCTAATCTCCCCGTTGCTTGCTTCCTTTCCCGCAGCCCGCCCCCCCCTTCTTAGGTTGTTCGAACCTTTTTTTTCCTGTATAAATAGGTCTTCCCCTCCCCCCTTCCTGGTTGCAATAGAAGCTTTTCTTTCTTCTCTCAAGCATCAACAATCAAAACAAGCCCTTTCTGATTAAATCCTGCTACCTACTACTTTACCTCACTTCTCAATCGTCTAACGCTTATACCTAAACCGTATAATTTTCATCATGGACTTCGTCAACAAACTCGCCGGCGGCCAGAGCCAGGGCCAGAACCAGGGCCAGTCCGTAAACGAGCAGGTCGTCAGTGACCAGAACGCAGGACAGCAATCATCAGGCTCGGGTGGCTTCCTCGGCGGCATTGGCAACAAGCTCAACGAGGCTGCTGGCGGCGGCAAGGCTAGCGAGAAGAACGAGGATTACCTTGACAAAGGTATATTGGTCTTTATTTACTATCCTCCTTTCCTTTCTCTCTCTCTCTCTCTTTTTACTGACAAACACGTGTACAGGCGTCGACTTTGTCCAAGAAAAGTTCCTCGGCCAGGGTCCTCAGGACAACGAGTCTGCTCTCGAGCAGGCCAAGGACGAGCAGATTAGCGACTTCATCCGTGGACAGTACAAGAATACTACCGGAAAGGACCTGCCCTTCGAGGACAAATAAGCTTGTCGTCATGAAGAAAGGTTGCAGGCGCTGGGAGCTATGGCCTTGAGAATGACGGCTACGGCAGTACATGTCTTGCTGGCCAATAATGATGCTGTTATGATAGTCATGAAATGAAATAACGATGATCTGTATCAATTGTCTACACTTTCGTTTGTGGTGTTTGTTGTATTTTCATGCGATTGATGTCGCAGGTAACGTATCTCTAGTACCAAACGCCTATTATCTACCTGATATTGCATTATATGAGGATTGATCTCTGTGCGCCAAATACGTAGTCCTCCTATTGTTGTCACACTCTTTACAACTGCTCGATTCCCTCAACAAACTTGTCAAGCATTGCTTCCGAATCATCACTCAACAGACCTTTCATCATGCGCGATCTATCCATCGTTAGTTCTCCTTTCTCCCTATCAAGTTATCACCATGCACTTACAGATTTGCCAGCTTGTGAACCTCCATGCTCTGCTCCAACTCTGCGCTCTTCACCTCCGCCACATCAATAACCTTATCGGGCACTCTCGCCAACCGAGCGACATTGAGTCCGTATGACCGATGACTAATACCTTCTGTTGCTTCGTACAAAAACACCACTTCCCTTCCACCATTCTGTTCTTCAAACCGCATGTGCACATTCTTCAACTGGCCATCAGGAAATCGCGACGGCACCTTGGCAAGGTGCTGGTAGTGCGTGATGAATAGCGTCAGAGACTGCAAGTCACGAATGACGTAGTCGAGCACTGCTTCGGCTATGGCAACACCGTCGAAGGTCGAAGTGCCGCGACCAAGCTCGTCGAGGATAACGAGTGAGCGCGGGGTTGCGGATTTGAGGATATCGGATGTTTCGTTAAGTTCGACCATGAATGTCGACTCGCCTTTAAGCATGTTGTCGAATGCGCCCATGCGAGTAAACACTGCGTCTAGCATTCCTAGACGTGCCTCGCTGGCTGGAACGTAGGACCCGATTTGTCCCATGATGGTGATCAGAGCGGCAGAGCGTACGAAAGAGGATTTTCCGCCCATGTTAGGACCTGTTACGAGAAGGGCACGAGTCGAGTCGTGCGATAATGAGAGATCATTTGGCACGTAGCTATCGAGAAGTAGCTGCTCAACCATTGGATGTCGACCGCCGGTGATGTTGATTTGAATATCGTCTGTGAAAGTGGGCTTTACGTAGCCTGGCTGATTTGCTAGGGTAGCGAGAGACAGAAGAGCGTCAAGCGTAGCTAAAGAAGCTATGCAATCTCGCAGTTGCTGGTACTTGGATGAGATCTCCTCCAGTAGACGCATGTAGGCTCTATCACACGCGGCGGCAAGTGACTCTTTGTACTGATCCCGCTCTTGGAGCATACGCTTGACTTCTGGAGTGTGGAAGCGAAGAGTAGTCTTGGTAGCGGAGATTTGCTGCCATGATGCAGGGACTTTCTTCTCCTCGGCTGATTTCCTCTTGACTTCAATCAGGTACTCAATACCCGCAACGGTGACGTAGTCCACCTTGCTCTTCCCAAGCTTTGCTGCTGCCTCTTTGCGGTGTGTGTTGAGGTCATCTTCTACCGACGCAATGCTGAGCTTCAGATCGTTGATGTCCTCCGCTTCATGCTCCTCTCGGAAGAATGAGTACTTATCGTCATCTTTGGCGGCACTCGCGTTGATCTTGTCAAGGAAGCCATTCAAGTCCTCATATATCTTTGGAACATTTGAGACAGCTTCACTCAGTAGTGTTGACGAGAAGCCGCTTTGCTCAGGTGTCTGAGCAGATAAGTATTGGCTTGATATTTCTTGAAGCGCCTGCAAAGCTGATAGGAGTTCAGGTCTCGTGCATTTCTTGTAGTATATCCGGATGAGGACTTTCTCAAGATCAGTCTTGATCTTTCCCAACACAAACCTCAATTTATCCACGGGTATGGTGTGTTCGCCTTCCTTGAGCTCTTCAACAGCCGCAATGCGCTCTTCCAACTTGGCTTTATCAATCAGTGGTCGACCAACCCATTTCCTGAGCAGCCGTTGTCCGAAGCGAGTCTTTGTCCGATTCATGGTCCAGAACAGACTGCCTTTTGAAGTGAAGTCTGTCTGGTTTTGGTAAATCTCCAGACTGGACAATGTGTTTCCGTTGAGCAGCATGTATGATCGTGCGCTGAAGGGCTGAAAATACTTGGTAAGATCGAAGACATGTTCCAGCCCGTACTCGGTGAGGTATGTAATCATGGCAGATAGACATATAGTAACGTGCTCTGATAGTTGATGCACCTTGTCTAGGACCGCACCTTGCTTTTCTGAATCAGCGTCTGCACTGGATTTCATTTTACCTGCATAGAAGTTCGAGATGTGACTGTAGGCTTGTGCAGCCATTGTTTTGGGCTTCTCCACCCTCTCCACTCGTGACCTGTCTCCAAATACATTGGTCTTGCTGGCTGAGAGGTGTTCTATCAGCTTATTGGTAGCTTTGGACAGATCACCAACCACCAGAAATTCAGCTGGCGCAATATGGAGCAGGCGCGTCTCGATCTCGCTACGCATGAAGCTGTCCTCAAAGTCATCGTAGATGATATCGCCTGTTGCCGGTTGTACAGCTACCAGTCCGACCTGGACCTTCTCGTCTGTACCCCAACCCTTGGCATTGCTCTCGGTGATGCAAAGCAGATATCCAGTCGACTGTGCACTAGCACCTGAACCCTCGGTTGGTGTTTCCAGGCCTTCCACGTCATCTACATATGTGCCTTTGGTGTAAAGGTTTGTGAGTTTTCGAACAAATGGTGCGTTTCTGTTGTTGCCAGCCGCCTTGAGCGCTGCTGTTTCGACCTGGCGCACCACACCCACTTTGTGGTTTGCCTGTACAAGACGTTTGACATGGACTTGCAGGCGATGGGTGGGAAAACTCGCAGACGCAAATTTGTCCAAGTGCGCCTCAGAAGGGTGCTCGTCGTAGCGAAATTTTCCTGGTATGCAAACGATTCCTAGCTCCTTCGATGCGATTCTTGCGTCTTCACCAAAGAACTTGTACTTGTATCCAACCTCCATAATGATGACAGTGTCGAGGTGCTTGCGCTTGATATCGAGATATTGGATTTCCATAGGCGTCAACTTGCTGGCCTTTTTTGTGGCGACGGCTTTTTTGCCCTTGACAGGCTTTGGCGGGGGCTCTTCTTCGTCATCTTCGTCGCCTTCGCCCTCTTCCTCATTGGCATTATCCTCTGAAATGATCTTGTTCCGCCTTCGCAGCTCAGCAAAGCTATCAGGCCGACCCAGCTTCTTCACAAACTTCTCGTGTAGCTTCTCCTTTTGCTTCTGGGCAGCAGCGGCATCTTCCTCATCCTCATCGTCGTCGTCTGGTTTGTTCTCATCTTGAATCGCTGGTGATGAGGAGAACAGAAACTTGGAGGTTCTGTCGGTAATTCTGGGGGGTTTCGATGTACCCGAGGTAGTGACGGATGTGTGCGTAGGTGATTGTTGCGGAGAGGCATTTTTGGTGAAGCGAACGCGTTTGGAAGGCGAGGACCGACCTGAGTCTTGTGGTTGATCATCGTCATGTACTGCGCGCTTACGGAGAGTAAGAGGCGCCCTTATTGGAAGACCATCTTCTTCGTCATCGTCACTATCGTCTTTCTGGGTCGTGCCGTTGGTGGCGGGCGGAGACTTTGTTCTTGGTGGAGATGCGGGAGTGGCAGCGGGAGCGGCAGAAGTGGTAGCAGCAGCTTTGGGGGGTTGCGCCGGCTTGCGCGTGAAGAAGCTCGATATTGTCGGCTGGGTACTCTTCTGGGACGATTGACTGCTTTTCGGCGCCATTGGACCGTTTGTAGGTTGTAGGAAATAGATGGTCGGTGTGCAGGTGGAGAAAGCTGGAGACGCGTAACGAGCATCGCGACTCGCGCCTTGCGACCTGGTTACATCACGGTGTCACGTTTCTGGGGTTTTTAGCCGTGCTTGGGCCTTGTACCCCACACAGAGATAAGAGCGTCGAATAATGGACCATGGCTAAATCGTCGGGCTATTTTTTTGGACCCTTTTGCATTGGCCGCCCCTACTCTTTACATGCGGTATGCAGCCTTTGGATGTTGGCTATCGAACCTTAAGATAGAGTTTGGCAGATTGACTTGTGGAAAAAAAGAGGCATCTATGATTACCTGATAAGCAGCTAGGGACCCCATGATACATGACTGTCATCACCGCAGAACCATATCGCTCTAGATCGGCTCACGATCTTCTTCAATGGTCCTCCCTCAACACTTCTTGCGTTATTTTTCGCCCAGATCACGACCAACGCCAAAATCTCCAAGTACCGCAGACGGCCCGGCTTTAAGATACTATCTCTTCGCCTTTCAGCGCTATCATCAGAATTTTCTTGACCATGTCCGTAGTAATGCCTAGAACCTCGTACGCTTTTCATGCGAGCTTCCGCTTTGCGTAGCTTGCGCTAAACACTTTCAGTAACTGCCCTGGCTATCTGTGGTAGGGGCCAGCATCCTCCGCTGTCGGCATGTGTACTATAAAGAGGTACTGACGACTCCTCGCATGCCATCACCACACCGACCTCGCAGGCTACTTTCTCCCCCGTCCGTTTGGTAACAGCATCGTGCTGTCTGCAGTATGGCGCCATCTTTGCTTATCAAGCCCTTGATTGGGCTTTTGATGCTGCAGAGCGCTTTGGCTACTCCAGTCAAAAGGCACGTTTCCTTTTACAAAGAGGAGGATCCTTATGGGTTCCGAATTCACGAGCCGCGGCTTGGTGCTGTAGCTTCGTCTACCGCGATTTGCAGCCGTATCGGAACCGACCTGTTGAAGGCGGGCGGCAATGCGGCAGACGCCATGGTTGGCACAGTGGCATGCGTAGGCGTCGTTGCCATGTACCACTCTGGTAATTCCACCTCCCAAAGTGCTTCATACAAGAGTTACTAACAGATGTTAGGAATTTCTGGGGGAGGCTTCATGCTCGTCCGTTCGCCAAACGGCACATATGAGTTCATTGACTTCCGTGAGACAGCTCCAGCCGCTGCTTTCGAGGATATGTTCAAGAACAACACTGCAGCTAGTGAGAGGGGCGGTCTCGCATCTGGCGTTCCGGGTGAGCTTCGTGGTCTGCAATACCTTCATGAAAAATATGGCCGCCTCCCATGGAAAACCGTCATCAAGCCAGCCGCCAAGGTCGCTAAAAATGGCTGGAGGGTTAACGAAGATCTTGTTCGCTACATGGCTTCTGCTTCAAACAACGGAAAGGACAACTTCTTCGTTAACGACAAGGAGTTTGCGATTGATTTCGCGCCCAAAGGCCGTCTTCTCCAACTCAACGATACCATCACTCGAAAGCGCTATGCCAAAACACTTTCAATCATCGCAGAGCAGGGACCGGATGCATTCTACAAAGGACCATTGGCAGAAGCCACGATCCGCGCTCTCCAAGCCTCCAATGGCACCATGACGCTCGAAGACCTAGCAAACTACACCGTGGCCATCCGCAAACCCTCATCCATCACCTACGGAAACTACAAACTCACGGCCTGCAGCGCCCCCTCCGGCGGCAACGTCGCCCTCGCCGCCCTCAAATTCATGGAAGGCTACTCTGGCGTCGGTGACCCCCTCAACGCAAACCTGACCACGCACCGCCTCGACGAAAGCATGCGCTTCGCCTACGGCATGCGCTCAGAGCTCGGCGATCCCTCCTTCGTCAAAGGCCTCGACGCATTCCAGCAGCAAATGCTCTCCAACGCCACGGCCGCCGAAGTCCGCAGCAAGATCCTCGACGACAAAACCTTCCCCGTAGCCTACTACAACCCCTCTGGCCTCGAATCCCTCGAAACCCCAGGCACAAGCCACGTCGTCGCCGCCGACGCATCCGGCCTCGCAATCTCCCTCACCACAACCGTCAACCTCCTCTTCGGCAGCAAACTCGTCGTCCCGGAAACCGGCGTCATCATGAACAACGAAATGAACGATTTCAGCATCCCAAACACCACAAATGCCTTTGGATACATTCCCAGCCCCGCAAATTTTATCCGCCCGGGAAAACGCCCACTGTCGTCCATCGCTCCCGTCATAGTCGAGCACCTCAACCTCGCAAACGTAACAAACGCCTTCTACATCGCCATTGGCGCCGCAGGCGGCTCCCGCATCATCACCGCGACAATCCAGAACATCATTCACATGCTGAGCGGCAATATGACGACGGCCGAGGCGCTGGCCCAGCCGAGGTTCCACGATCAGCTTGTGCCCGCGCAGGTGAGCTTCGAGTATGCGTTTGATAATGCCACGACGGCGTATCTGCAGCAGATTGGCGCAAATGTCACGTGGATGGCGCCGGGGAGCAGTAGTGCGCAGGGCCTGAGGTTGTTGCCGAATGGCACGTTTGAGGCGGCGAGTGAGCCCAGGCAGAAGAATAGTGGCGGTTTTGCTGTTTAAGATGGGGAAAAAAGGGTCATGTTTGATGCTGATAATGCCGGTGGTGGAGCTGTTGGATAGTTCAAGCAGTCTTTGGGGTGAAACTATTCCTCGTGTACATAGATATGATATGATACTTACCCTCGATGAACTGACTCTACGAGTCAAAGTAAATCCATTACTACTATTACTTCATGACCATGCTTCACGTACGCAAAACACTGCTTCCAACCGTATCAACAGCTAAGTTGTATTTCATCTGGTGCGTATATTGCACACGTGCTTCTCTCTATTAGAGTAGCCCATCATCTACTTTGGACAAGAGACTACAAAGTGCGAGGGGAGAAGTAAAAAAAGGGAATAACGCTTTTTGTAAGCCCCGTCAAACGTGTATCCATCATGTCGGATCACGTGAAAGAAAACGCCGAGAATGTACACTGCAAAACAAACCAGAACAGGGGGTTCGACCAAGTACAAGAGCTGCTGTACCAATCAGCTCAGTCGACCACCCGTCTGCAGAGACGAAGCGAAAAATGCCTGCCGTTGATCATAAGCCATGCCATGGATTCATGGGAGGCCTCGCTATCGTCGGACGCAACTGATCAAGAGTTACCTTCGGGCGAAGCGGCTGGGTCTATTATATCTCATGGATAGGGCATAGGGGTGAGCACACCTCATCTGTGCAAACATAGTCAGTAACAATCCGAGATAAGTCAAAGACATGAATGCATACCAAAATCCCGTCGCACACCTAGAAACGACTTCGGTGATTAGGCTTTGTTGGCGTAAAGGGGAGAGCGGCGGAAGGGTCCTCGATCGGTTTCGCACTGTATCAAACGCCAAATGTCAGCAAGCACAATAACATATTAAGAAGTTGGCGCATTACGTTTTGCCGGCAGTCATGTAAATGCAAAAAGATGGTACATGATAAGAAGAAGCCAAAAAGGGACAGGGGATGCTAGGGTAAGACAACAGCAAGCCTTCAAATTGAAGCTTGACGCAACATGGCTCTGCGGACGATGCCTAGCGCAAGTCTATTTGCGCTGGCGTTTGCTTGCTACAATGTGAGGCTCGCCTTTTCGTTTCTGAGGGGCAGGGGTTTGGGAGTGGGCTCTTTGAGCAGATGATACATACCCGTTCACTTCCTTATCCAACTGCATGTACTCCTCAACTGCATTCTTGCCGCCACGGTTCAGGAGATAGGACATGTAATAGTGTGACAACTCTTTCGACGTCTCACCAGAGAAGCGACCTTTGGTACGCATCAGGTCGTGAGCCGCCTTGATCCGAGCATGCGCTGCTTCTTGGTTGGGAGAAGGCTGTGCAATTTCAAATTCCAAGTATTTCTTCCAAAACTCACGTGAGTCTAGGAATCGCTCATGCTTGTCCTTGAAGACTTGACGAGCTTCGCCGATGCTGCTCTTGCACTGCCAAAGGATACGTGCTTGTTCCGCTGCGAGTATGCCGCCAATCTGATTGTTGGAACGGTCAATGTACTGCTCTAGAAGGCGGACAGCCGCATCGTTGCCTTCATGTCGTCGCTCTAGACCTGCCAGGGAGATAAGAGTCTCAGTGTGCTCTGGTGCCTCTTCGAGCATAGCCAGGTAGATATCACGGGCGACAGATGTTCGACCGAGTTTCTCTTCGAAACGAGCCCAGTTGAGGCGTATGGCGGGGGCTGAGATGGGCACAAAGATACAGCTGGCTCGCATGTAGATGATCCTCGCATTCTCCTCTTTGCCCTGGGCAAACATCCAGCGAGCATATCGCAGCCAGAATTCGTCGTACAAAGCACATGCGACCAAGCAGCGCTCATACAGGAACGCGATACGCTCAAAGTCACCCAGCTTCTCTTCAAAATCTAGATACTTACGCCAGTTCTCAAGCTCGGACTCTTCGAGCTCGGTGACGTGGAAGTAGGCCCTCTTAATGGCATGCTCATAGGTCCAGCGGCTGGTAACATCCTGCTGTGTCTTCGAGTACGCGCCGTAGTACCATTCAGTTATCTTGGAGCGCAGCTGTCGCTCAATCTCAACCACTGGCTTGTCAGGCTGTCCCTGATTCTCCAGCTGAACCGCGGCTTTCAGCTTTTCGAGTGTTCCTGGACTGGCTAACTCTTCTACTGGACGATTGGAGAGAAGGACGGAGAACTTCTCATAGTACCGAGAAAACTGGTAGATGGGTATGTGCAATACACGGCTGTAGATCTTGGTAACATTTGCTGGCTCTTGGATACGCTCCTCGAATTCGATGTACTTGTCCCAGAATGGGTGGCTCTGGAAATCCAGACCGACAAAGTGAGCACCTCGCTCGAATAGCCTAATGGGTTAGCATTGAAAGGTCTGAACAAGGAGAGTACGACGAGGAGAGAATGAAAGGGGACGATCATGAAAAGTAACTTAGTGTGCCAACAAAAGGATGGTAAGGCTATCGAACTTCGTCCTTCCAGGGTCTTGGGCAACTCTTTCGCGGGGGCAGAGTGTAAACGGGGTGGGGGGGGAGGGCAACGGGATGATGGGACATGTAAACATGTAGCGCCCGAGCGCGCCCGAGCCCACCGCTGGCTACGGCGATTTGAGCCTCGGAATCGGGAGGAGGGAAGCGGGGCAAAGGGAGGACTCACTCTCGGATAATGTCGTTGTCGTGCGACGTATCCATTTTGAAGCTGCAGTAGTTGGCCCACAAGTCTACTGAAGTAGTGATGCACGAGACACCACGCTCGTATACCATCTCGGCAGTCTCTGTACCGCCAATCGAGAATTCGAGATCGGCATACTTCTTCCAGTAACCGAAGAACAGTGGGAACTTGGTGAGAAAGCAGTCGTAGACGTTTCGGACAAGCTCGATGGTCGAGGGACTGGAGTTGCGGGTGACGCCGCCTTCGAGCTCAGAGGCGCGAGTGACGAGCGCTTCCCATTTGTCGAAATCATCTTCACTCTCCACCTGTATATGCTGTCAGCGAAGGTCTGTATCGAAGCAATGGGACACTCACCACAGCGCTGAGGAGCTTATTGATCTCACCTGCAGCTTCTTCCCCGGTGTAGTGCACTTGGGCAATGCTGCCGCGCCCGGTGGCCAACATGATGGCGCGTCTCGGGCTCTGTGCAGGAGACTGTGCGTGCGAGTTAGTTATGATATTGATGCGACTGCGTTCAACAGCGCGGTGGTGATGCGGCGGCGACGATGACGACGGCGAGAGGTTCGTGTGTGGTTGTCGAGAGGTTTGCGACAGTCGTACCGTAGAAGCCGCGCTCGAGTTCGCGTCGGCGAATCCACTTTCGTCAGCGCCGAAGCTTGCAGGCGCCAAGCCCAGCGTTTGCCCAAACCAAACGGCAGCCTGGCGGGTAGCCAATAGCAAGAGAGCAGTGCGGCTGCAACTATGGATTTCATTCATTGTGTATTCACCTATCTAGGGATCTTACAAAATAGTCAACAAGGCCGCCGAGGTATCACGCCAAACAAGAGAGGGGGCTACAGGTGCCTCTCCATTCAAGACAGAATTCCAGACCCCAAGACTCCGCCACAACAGTAGAATCTATCCATGTGCTCACGCAGTACTTTCTTCTTTCAAAAAAGGTGCCGTATCACTGGCTGAAAATGAGAATGGACTCTTGCCCACTTCCGGGCTCCTCGGACTGATAGGCAACGCAAAGAGTCCATCGTCCTTGTCATCGTCGTCTGCAGACCCCAATGGGCCCCGAGATTGGAAAACGGGCGCTGGGCCAGACAAGGCGTTTAATGAGCCCATGCCAGCACTCTGCTGTTCTGTGATAAACTGTGGAGGTGCCTGTGCTGCGATTCTCCGAGGTGGATCTATTGGCTGAACCTGAGGTGGTTGCGGAGGCTTTGCCGCAAGGCTAGCTGGATTTGCGCCCTTGAAGACCGCAAAAGAACTAATAGCAATGTCTGAAGATTCGGGCGATAGAGGGTTGGAGAAGCCCGGCGTGCTGTTGCTGGGTGAGAGGTCCTTTTCACTTGTGCCTAGTCGCAGTCCTGCCAGCTTGTCCATGAGGCGGCCCCCACCAGGAGACCGTGGGCTAGAGGGTGCCTTCATCGGTGCCAGCACGGGCTCACCAAGTGAGATACTTAGGCCTGCGGGTTTGGCATTGACTCCGAATGTCGACTCAATCCATTCCTTCTCTTGCACGGCCATGAGCAGACCGACACCCTCGACGTTGGTACGTGACTCCGCCTCAATCTCCTTCTGTAGCACCTGCAGCCTTTTCTTCGCCCAAATGGTGTGCAGGACACCCTTCTTGCCCGCTGCCCGCGCCGACGCCCCTAGCTCTGGCGGGAACAATGCTGGAAGAGGATTTGTATGCCAGACAACAGGAGCCCTGGTACCGTCTTGCGGTCGTAGCGTGAGTGTAACGCTGGTGGGTACCGCGACGCCCGGGGGTAGCAGAAAGTACATGCGATGCACGTCGTTGGCCGACTGGTCGTTGGCGGGCAGGACCCGTGTGCTGCCGTCCCATGATATGTGCCAGTCTCCCCGCACTCCCCGCGTTGTGTCATCGTCCTCCCACTCGACCATCAGAATCTTGGTGCCTGTGGTGGCATTTGCATGGCCCGCCTCGTACTCGTAGCGGGCAAGCGCATTTGCGCTGGAGATGCTCGGCGACTCAACCTCGTCCTTGGTCAGCTGTCGCGTGGTGGTGTCGACGGAAGTAAACGGAACCGTGGCCGGGGACGCCATTGGGAACAGGTCGAGTTTAGATGTCGTGGAGCGCGATAGCTACGTGCGGGACGATGCGTCTACCGGCGTGTATACAAGTGGGTGGGGGTGGTATACGGGTCTAGGTGGTAATAACGGCGACGGCAAAATGACAATCATCCAAAGGCCCGTGTTCGATGTCGAGGGCAATGCAACACACAGTCGACGGCAGGCTAGACACTCCCGCCACGACCTTGCTCTGGCTGGAATGGCAGTCTGGCGATATCTCGCTGACCGTCTGATGCTGGCCGTACGCGTTAGTCTGCAGCTTCGTAGTCCGGCCGATGTTCGTCACTAATTTTAGACGTCGACGCCGGCCACTTCTCCACGGCTCCTAGTGAGCCACGGGAACCAGCGACTGCCGCGCCACATACGGAGAGCTGCGTGCTACTCTTGTCAGCCAATCACGTGTGCATATGCATCATCGAGGCACGGCGCTGCCTGAGCGTATCGCTCGTTTCAACTTCAATTCCACTCCTATGGGGCCTCACTTTGGAGCCCCGTTGCTACACTACTATCCATGTATCTACCTACATGTACATGCGCCGGCCGCTGGGGTGCTGCGCTAGCTTCCCCCACGCAGCTTTTGGCCCCTCCATGCTCTCTCCCTCACTCTCCCTCACCCCCTTCTCTCCTCCTCGTCCTCCATTCCCCCCTTTTCCATGTACGGTTTCTTAGAGAGGCAACCAGACCACACCGAATCCAGCCGTGATCTCGTAAATAGTAAAGAAAAAAAAACACCCTCTTTCCTCCTAACGACATCCAGTCGATGCTACTGTGCCGTGTGAATGCTGCCTTTGCTCCTTAGAGCCATTGGTATCCAAAATTACAAAAGTGGGTATCGTGTAGAATAAAATATATGCAAAGAAATAAGCAAATCGCTTTGGTAAATGCTGCTGCAAGACGAGCCAAGGCCCAGACGAGAAGAGAATGTAAGTTGGCAAAAGGGGGACCACGCACACAAGACCAGGATGCATACCAGCAGAAGAAGCGACCCGCTCAGATGAGCAAAAAGTCCCAGTTCTTCTGTCGCATCATGTCCCGCCAGTGAACACTCTGTGTGTTGCCCTTTGCCAGGTTGTCGTCGTTGGCCTGCCACACTTCGTGGAGAAGGTTTTTGACTCTTCCGTACGATCCAAAGTTTGCCGCCTCGCCCAGCATGGCAGAGCGATCAGCGAACATTTTGCGGAATCCAGACTGCGGCACCGAGATGGAACCAGCGACCAAGAGTGGCCAAATCAGAGAACGGTCAAAGCCGTCAGGGCCAGCGGGGATATACTCCATGGCCTTGCAGAGAGCACTCACCAGGTTGACAAAGGTAGGTGATGTGCGGTCAAAGTCTGGCACTAGGCTGCAAAGGTAGATGCGGGCGGCTAGACGGTACACTGCAGTCATGTTGCGGCGAAGCTGCCGTGGGAGAATCTCACCAGTAGACGAGTAGGCGCTGTTGAGCGAACCCTGGGGCGGCTCGGTCAAGCTGATCTGCTCGCCAAGGAGTTTGATGTGGGCGCAAAGCTGCACGATATCCATGTTCTCATTCTTCAGCGCTTCGAGGCAGGCGATTTCCGAAATAAGATACATGATGCGGTCTTCGCATCCCATGAGTTCTGCGAGGCCGGAAGATGCATCTGCAATAAGCTTCTCCCGGTAAGTGTCAGCGAATGATGGCGTCCTGCCCAGCATCGTAGCGCCGAGGATGTCGATCCAGGAAGCCAGTGTCATGTTGAAGGGTGGCTGAGCGTGTGCCTGGCCGTTCAGTGCGATCATCTGCGCAGGAAGCTCTAGCCTGTGAACGAGGTTCTGGACGGCTTCAAAGTGGCCGTGCCATGGGATGTCCATGAGACCGTCGTTGAATCGACCGACTGAGCACTGGAAAAAGATCATACCGAGCGCTGCCTCGAGGGTCTGACCGTGGTTGCTGTCACTGTAGAGCGCAGCGGTAAGCTGCTGGACGGTTTCACCGCGATGTCGCTGAATGTCCAAGTCAATCTGCTCTCCAGTGAGCCCCTGAGTGGTCTTCATGTGTAGTGCGGATATGCTCATGCAACAGTGTAGATATGCCTTGTTGGTCTCGAGTGCTGGGATGATGACATCACGCTGCGCTGCGCCAGGTTGGTTGGTTTCCAGGACAGGAAAGGCAGAGGGCATGATGTTCTCCAAAAAGTGGCTTAGCAGGTGGCGGTCGCAATCATCCACCTGGATTGATGGCTGGTGTGATGGGCTGAAAGTGCCATATGTGTTGTAGTCAAAAATGGGGAACTCAAGGGGCTCCTCTGTGAAAGATTCGCGGCGCTCAAAGTAGTCTTGTTGAATCCAGTTGTCTGAGGGGTATGCTGGAGGTGTTTGGTAGTGGCTGTAGGAGGAGATTGTTGAATCGCGTCGAGTTGGGATGTCGTTGATGAACATCTGGCTCTCAGTCTTGATATCAATGTCGTATGGGACATAGTGTCCTGGGTGGGCGAAGCTGGGGGGGAAGCTGGGTGGAGGCATTGTGGAGTTGTAGAAGTCGATTGTGGCAGGGGCTGGGTTGAAGTTGTAGTCGAGCGAGTTCTGCGAATCGACAGAAGGCGCTCTTGTGCAGCTGACGCCGTCTGAGAATGTGTCGGCAGTCTGCATGGAATGGCAAAGGCTTGGTGGAGTGTTTGTGCCCATGGCAGTGCCCTGTGCAGTCTTCTCATTGAGCTTTGTGCGCTTGATGATGTTTTTGATGAGTTCCTTCTGGGCGCGCCTCTGCTCGTTGTTGCTCCACCACATTGGTCTCTTGTATTCACACTTGAGGCCAAGGTGTTTGCAGGCGCGACAGGATGGTTTTCCTTCGTCGCACTTCTTGCGTCGCAGGCGACATGTGAAGCACCCTGCACAAGATCCGTTAGCCAGCCCGTCCAAGTCCATGCGCGGGATCCCTGCATAGGAAAGAAGAAGAAGAAGAAGAAGAAGAAGAAAAACAAAAGCAGAGGGTATATATTACCTGTTCGTGAGCGACGGTGCATTTTTGCAGCGGCTTGCTTTGCTGCGTTAGCAGCAGCAGTGGTAGCGCCTACCATGGTTGTGGAGTGTTTGGTGGCAGATGTGGGAGCGGACGAGGAGGACATGGACGCTCGAGGTACCCAGAGCGGTGGTATATGAGGCAAGCCAGTTAAACGATGCGGCAATAACGACTAAGGCACGACGGGACGATTCGTAAGGGACAGGATGGCAGGGCTCGACCGGGCTGCTCGTAATTAAAGATGGGCATTCAAAGCTCGACCAGCGGGCTTGATGTGAAGGAAGGAGCGGAACCAAATTATGCGGACTACCTATTTGCGTGGAGGGTTATTAGTGAGCGACAAGTACCTTATATCTGCCAGGAACGGCACAATGGTCACAAATACTGCTGAATCTATTCTTGGACTTGCAGTTATCTCGAGGGGCGGGCGACCAACGGGAGGGAATTGCGAACGTGGTACAGCACATGGCGCTGGCACGCTGATTGGGCAGACTAGTCTGGCCATGCAGCCTGATGTCGACATTTGGGGGCATTTTGTGTTGCCAGCTATTTTGGGGCTTACTTACCCGCCGCGCTTGAGCCAGCTGCAGGCCGTAGCGTCCATCTCTCCACGGCTATCGATCGGCTCACTGGCCCCCGCAACCAGTCTGGTAAGTTAATTGTCCCGTTTGGGCGACTCGGCCCTAGAGGCATACGCCCATGTCGACGTGAGAGTTTTCGCAGCCAGGGGGGTCGGGTGCGTTAGTCTCTTCTCGTCCCAACCTCCCTGCGGGGCACTATCGACGAGTGGCATCATTCCAGAGCCGTCTAGGGAAAAACACTTGCAGCGGCTGCGATAAGTGGCCGGCCCGGACGTTACTGGTGGCCTGGTGCAGATGCGCAGATCACGGGATGCAATGCGCCCGGTCTGTGTACAAGCAAGCACGGCACCTGCTGGTAGCCTGTCCTCGTGCCAGCAGGGAGCATGAGTGCGTGCGTGTATGTAGTGTAAGTCGACTACGTATGTGCGTGTGCAAGCGAAGCGAGGAGGGAGTCACTGGCCCTCGCTGGCCACGTTGGCCACAGCCAGTCGAGAAGCGGAGCTGGCAGTTGAGGCTGTCGTGATCATTTCCACCGCGGGACCTGCCCAGCTAGAAGCTAGGCGGACGAAAAAGGCAGACGGCAGTGTTGGCCAAACACGGCAGGTCGGTTGGCGATGTTTTTTCCCGAGCTATGCGGGCAACGACGAGGGAGTGGGTGTAACGCAGCAGAGTGGCATAGCACAAGATGGGGGGCGGCATCCAGTCAGCGTGCGCTCCCACGCAAAACAAGTCGCTTGTGCATGTTGCTCGAGGTGAAATTGCAAGAGAAGCTTTTGCTAGCGGGCGACGAGGGCCAATGACGAGGCCGAGGATGCTAGCTTACGCTGCGGGGCAATGCAGCGGCATGCTGGGCTGCTGGGGCGGACGACAGGGGAGTCGAGGTAGTAGTGGTTGTCGTGGTAGATGGTAGCAGCAGCAGCAGTAGTCGTCTAGCGGTGGTGGTGGTGGTGGTGGTAGTGTGTGGAGTGTGTGCTATGAATAGGCCGCTAATTAGGCTGACTTGGGTCGAGAAATTGCCCATAATTAGGGCCAAAGCCTAATGTGGGTGGCATGGCGAAGGCAGGCGAGGGCAGGTGCAGGAAGCGGCGGTGATTGGTTACCGAGGGCTACAATCAATACTTGGCGGGCGACGAATGGGCCCTCGAGTACCGGGTACGTCCTCGGTGGCAGTCGGACAGACCAGGCCCTTCCTCACCTGACTGCGCGGAACTGATGCTCAAAGGCCATCCTCTCCCGCTGCAAAGGCGCTACTTGCTGGTCCCTGGTTTTTGGTAAATGATGCCTGTCTCGTTTGCGTCTTGTTGGGCATCTAGTGTGCCCATTAATTGTCATCGCACGCTTGGTCTCCCTCTAGACGCGACTCAATCCGCTGCTCGCTCGTCTTTGCGGCACGCCTTCGGTCATCACCACGGGATCCGCCAAGCTGGCCAAATTGCGAGCGCCGTTGCACAAAGCCGTTCCCAGTAGGTTCCTCTGCCCGGCTATCAGAGGTGGAACTTTTTTTCTTCTTTTTTTCCCTGCTTGGCGCGGTTCGTAGAGAAAAACACGCTTGGGATAATGCTTGCATTTGCACAAGTTGCGGTCTGCATGGCTCCTTGCCCCAAGCCCATTTCTCCACGCTGATTCGCCTTGTCGCCTTGACGCTTCTCCAGTCCATTGTCGCAGCGGAGCACACCAGAGAATGGCGACTCGGCTGGCCGCAGGGTCTTACAGTCACGGGCTCATGGTGTGGGTGCTGCTCTGCGCGACCGTTGGCCGCCACTGTGGGAGAGGGTTTCATGGTGGGAAGGTAGTGGCAGTCACGAGGGCGTGGTTGTACCAGCGGTCTGACACATGGCTGGTAACGGTAGCAGACTGCCGGCAGCGGCGACGCCCAGGCAGGAAGAGGCAGAGAAGTCGAGATAGTAGGTCCGACGAGCACCACAGTTTGCCCGGCCAGACAACGACTATGACGACAGGACTGCCTGTCGAGTCGAGTCGACCTGGACTCTGTTCTGTGGCGTCACGGGCTGCACGCAACCGCTCCACCACGGAACGCAGCCGCATGTGATGTGTTTGTGCCAATATCGCATTGCTGCATGTTGCTGGTGAGGCTGTCGGCTCGCACACGTCAACCGTCTGCGTCGGAACCGAAGCTCCACCGACCGATCATGACATGGATGACCGTTGTCACATTTGCGCTTTGTCAGAAAGCGCGGTGTACCAGTGTGTATGTATGTAGTAAGTAGTTACGTAGTGTATGGACATGGACATGGACATGTACTGTAAGTAGACTCATACATACATACGGCTGAATGTATACTAGACAGCCGCATATAGACCTGTGCACATGGTTGGCCGGCAGCCGGCAGCTTCCAGCTGCCAGCTGCCAGCACGCCTGTGTCGACGTATGTATCCAACGTCACACTGGCGGGCAAGGTGAGGCGATGGGCGGTGGGCGGTAGGCGTGGTGCTGGCAGTTGCTGGCAGTGCCAGTGCCAGTGGCCAAGAGCAGGTCCGGGGTACGTACTTACCTTGAGGCTGCGCACAAGACGACAGACAGCCAACCGTGTGCGTGCACGCCATGGCTCAACCTCAGATCTTCGCTGCATCTGCGCGCGACTGGCGGCGACACGATCCGCTGCCGTCGGCCCTCGCTGCGAGTGGATCCGCGGCGACCCTGACTTGACTGGACTTGACCGGCCGGGCGTGCGTGCGTGCGTGTGAGTGTGGCCGTCATGGCGGCCGTCGTGGTGGTGATATTAATGGCATTTGCCCGTCCCGTTTCGGCACTATTAGCCCGCGGCCCAATCTAAGAGCTGGCCAACCAGCGTGCCATGCGCCCTCGCACACGTCTACACTAAGCGCCAGCCTGTCTGCTGCCCACTATGGCTGGCGACGACTCGACCTCGCTCAGTGGCCGCCGTCGACAGGCATACGCTGTCCCATGCAGTCTCTGCTGTGTGATATGGGCCAAACGAGCCCGCCCCCCACCGCCAACGGCGCCCAAGCACTCTCTACAAAAGACTTGCAAGCGCTCTCCACCCGAAGGGTCCTGTTTCCCGTTTTCGATCATCTTGTGCTGCCATCGCCCTACTGTGCTTTGCTCTGCTTTGCTTTGTATCCGCGTATGCCATGCTCGCCACATTCCATCCCATCACCCCCTAGCCCTCCCTCGCAAACCCGCTGCTCCTACTCTTGAGCGTGTGTGCGCGCACTCACATCGTGATCATGGCAAGTTACTCTCGGCACTCGACCCCATCGACACCCACCCCCTCCAATTCTAACTCCCTCATAGCAGGCCATGACACCCATCACCCCGCTGGAGCCGGGCATGGAAATGTTTGAAAGGGGAAAAGCATCGTCCCTTTTCTCCGCCGCTCTAACGGCCCGCTCCTCGCTCGAGCGTCCGCTTTCTCACATCAGCGTCGCCTATACCGACATTGAGGACGACTCAAGCGAATTCGAGGAGTTTGGCGGCTCTTCTGTGCGCGTCCGTGTTCCGCTGAGTCTGTGCGTTGGTGCTAACAACCTCCAGAGCGACAACCGACGAAGTCAAACAACAATATCAACATTTGAAGAAGTGACTACCCCAGGAGAAGACATCCGACCACAGTTTGCTTTTTGGCCAGAACCCAAGCCAGTAGAAGGCCCAAAGGGTCCACATCTGTTTCGTGCTTCGCAGTCCTCAAACGAGTTTCCATATGATGATGCGCTGCAGCTGTCTCCCTTGCTACCAAAGCACACACCACTTCGCCATCAAACTGCATTCCGCGAGGCAACTCCAGAAACAATTGTGCCCCAAATAGAGTACAACAACATCGCCCTCGCCGTAGCCCACCTCGACAATGCCGAAGTGCGTGCTTGGACTTCTCAAGACGTGGCTACCTGGATGTACCAGAATGGATTTGAAGACGACATCATTGACAAGTTCATCGGACACGACATCACGGGCGCCGTCCTCCTAGATATGCAGTTTGATGATCTAAAAGAGTTGGAGATCCAGTCCTTTGGCAAGAGACATCAGCTATGGAATCAGATCGACTCCCTCCGCACCGCAGAAGGTCTCATCTCTCCCACCGCCCCTGCCGCCATCCCAACCCCGTTTGAAGACATCGAACGCCCTTGCAAAGAGGCAAGAAACAGATCAAAGAGCAAGGGTCGGAAAGCTAGTCGCCGTGACAAGTCGCGCGGCCGCAATCTAGGAGACGATCTCATCACGCCTGCCCACTCCGTCTCGATTGTCGCCATTGAACAGCTACTGCCCAAGCCTCACGTGTGCGCAAAGGGTGAACGGTGCTCCAAGTGGAAGAAGCAACAAAGGCAGCTCGCCAGACTCCAACAGGAACACGGCTTTCCCATCTCTCCCGAAAAGGGCGGCCACATCTTTATTGCTGGCGATCCTGGCAACGCCCAAACTGCAAGTCATGCTGTCGAGAACGTCCACCGCCCCAACTCAGAATCCGCGCCCTCCGTTGTGGTCCCGTCTGTGGTTGCATCGTCTGACGTGCTAGGCCCTGGCCAGCTACCAGACTTTTCCCTCCAAGATCTGCAAAAGTTTGAGCAACGCGACCCACAAGACAATGTGCGACAGTTCCTCACCCTACAGGGCCAGCAGCAACCTTATCAGACCGCTACTCCAATCGAAGCGCCTCCCACCCCGCCTGCCGAGATATACCCACCCCGTCCATTCTTGGTGATACCACAGCAACAGTACTGCCCGCCGGTTTCGGCCTTCTCCGCATCTACATCGGCACATACCACTGGGTCGTTCGAGCCATTCGCACACACCCCGTCGACCCCAGCTCTCCACCCTCCAGAGTTCATACCAGCGCCTCACTCGAACCTCAAGAGCCTTCCTAAATTGACCATTCCCCCGGCACGTGCAATGTCTGTCCAGCCTGGCGGCAACCCACGTAGCGGTGCTCCGGTACCCCAATACCTCGCACCGGACAGCGCCTTTTCGCCTTGTAGGACGGCTTCACCGGGTGGGGTTTACCGATTCGGTACGCCTTTCTCCGAGATGGATGTACCTGTGACCGCCGTGCAACCAGAGCCTCTCAGCCGCGACACAAGCCAGTCCGTGCCCCCAAACATGCAGTACCAGCCCCAACTCCACAGGTCTGGCTCGCGTCACGACCGGCGACGCCCATCACTGCCCATGCCAGCGCTAGCCGAAGAGCGCGTGTTCAGCCCAACCGCCCACTCAGATGACGACACTTTGCGCGAAACCATCTTCGATGACTCAGTTAGCCCCGTTGACAGTGCCAGCTCATCACCGCTCAAAGCCACCAAGCAATTTGACATGGAGGCCCAAGACACCGTTGCACCTCTTCATAAGGGTGGCTTCGTGTACAAGGGCGTCAACCACCATGGTTGGATGAAGAAGCGCCGGACCAAACTCTTGCGCCACGAATGGCAAGACCACCACTTCAGGCTCCAGGGCACGCTACTAGCCATGCACCCCAATGAGCTTCCTTCCTCATCTGCCCTGCAAACCATTGATGTAGATGACTATGCTGTAGCATGCTCGTCACTAGCTTCAAACAAGCTCTCAAGCAAGCTCAGGGCCCTCAAGCTCTCTTCGGGCCATCACAAGGACAAGTCGGCTGCCAACGCGCCTGCTTTTGAGTTTCAGCTTGTGCCCACCGCTCCTGGCAAAGGCGATGTCAAGAAGCTAATGCCTAACGGCAAGGTTCAACACTTTGCCGTCACTACCAAAGACCAGAGGATCGACTGGATGCGCGAGCTCATGTTGGCCAAAGCTTTGAAGGCCAAAAACGACGGCTATCAAGTCAATGTCAATGGTGCTAACATGTAGGGTAATCACGAGAATATTTCTCAATTTTCCTTGGAGGTTACTCTGATTTTTTTTTGTCCCTTTCTTTGCAGCAAGCGAGCAGGCGAGTTTTGATTTTCTTTCTTCTTTCAAATTTCCAACGTTCTCCACTCTTGAAGTCTTTTTTTTTATACCAGCACACTTTGGTGAGCTGATCATGACCCGCTATTATACCCTTTTACGTTCTGTTTCTTTTCTTAGTACACATGTCTTGTTTTGTTTTTCTTGCGTTCCTTCTCTCTCTACATGCTTATTTTCAATGCATACATCTGAAGACTTTGAACGCTCAGCGGGACCGCAAGGTCAGAGACGACAATTAGTTTTGGTTTTGGACATGGTTAATGTGTTGGAAAGATTGCATGTATGGGGGATTCATGCTTAGCACAGACATTCGCGCACTCATTTATTTGATATATTTGGGGCTTGGCAGATGTTTGTTGTTGTTGAAAAGCTACTGTTTATATCGAGGTATTGGAGGTGAAGAATGTTAGGTTGATGTCATGTGAGGAGAAGAGGAGAGACAGTAGAAATCGAACATGGGTACTATAACGAATGAAATGACTTTACGACTTATCTCTGTCTTGTGTGGTGAACTCGTCTTAGATTGCCTGTAGCCGGACTTTCCTATCTCGTCACTAGATATCGATCTTTGCTATTATTTGGAACGGCAACAATCGTTCCGTCCCCACAGTTGTTCGTTGACTTGGACCTGTGCCGCATACTGACATAACCAGCCCCCAACTCCTTGGCACAAAATAGATACTGGATAAAAAAGACACCAAAATACGCCAATACTCATATCTCGGTGTCCGATAACCATCCATGCATGGTACCTTGCATTCGGCCCCCTCCATCAATCTCTGTCGTACCACCACCCAAGCCCCTCAACAAAAAAGACCACTAATTACCTCAATTTTGCCGTATGCAACTAGTAGTATCTCACCCACACACCCCCGCAACCTCAAATCCAACCTAACCCCCAAAATAAACCGCAAACTTGACAAACGCGGCATCAGCACACACACACACACACACACACGCACACACGGACACGGCGCCCATCACATTGCCCTAAGCGAACACCCTGCTCTTCCGATCCAAAGAGAAACGGAAGCGCGATATTTGTCATTACCCGACTCCCGAGCCTGCGGTAACTTTGGCCTCATCCCGTCAACGCATTGACGCGCGCTCGAACGCATCCTAGACCATGCTTCCAACCCCTCCCTTTACCTTTAACCCCCCCCCCCTCTCTCTCTCCCCATGCGCCGAATACGAAAACGAAAGTAAACTATGTCATAACAAGAGCGACGAACGATCAGTGGGAAAAGAGCTACAACAAATTATGTAAAAAGATATAACACCTATATGACCAATTTCGAATTGTTATATTGTGATTTGCATAATTTCTTTTTTTCTTCTTCTTCTTATTTTATACTTATTATACTACGTACGTACTTATGCGCACAGGTACACACACACACACATACAAATACGCTTCTTCTCGGACTAAAAGGGTACGTACGTACGTAACGTAAAAAAAAAGCGTTACGGTATATGTACAATTTTCTCTCTCTCTCTCTTAACTCAATTCTTGGCAAGACACTCGAAGAACACCCTTTCCCCCCCCCCCTTCCCTTCTTCCACCCTAGCCAGTCCGCGTCTGGAGGCTCCACACCCTCCTCCCCCCCTCCTCTCTCTCTCACACACACACTCTCTCTCTTTCTCGATTGCAATCAACGCATCTTGGCGGAGCACACTTTCAGCCCCTCCCCCCCCCCTTCCTTCAATCTACTAGTAGCCCACTTTTCCTTCCCCCCCCTCCTCTGTCTCTCTCTCTACTCCCCGTTCCTCTTTCTTGCTCTTGTCGATCTGTTGGTCTCGCTTAGCTTATTATTAGCATATCAAATAAAGTACCAGGATAAGTAGTAATATGCAAGTTTATTTGGATTATTATTATTATTATTGTTGTTGTTGTTGTTGTTTTTTTAGCTAAGCCTTGGAAGAAGCCGTGTGTGTGTGTGTCTCTCTCTCTACCTATCTCTGTCCCTCTTTCTCGTATTTTTTTAAAGTTCGGTTCGGGACGGAATGGTGGGGATCGTAGTAAGGCGCTCTTTTTTTTCGGGGGGGTCCGATACGAGGTTGGGGGTCATTTTTGTTGCCTTTCTTGGGTGTGGCGGGCGAGGTAAATAGGGCTAGGAGTGAGGCTAATGGGTACTAGGGGATTTAGTGTACCGGAGTTTTTCTGTGTGTAGGCGGAGGATGGGGATGGGGATGGCGTTGGTGGAGGTGGGTTGGGTTTTGGGGG